TTACTCCACATGATATCTAATAAGTGTCTTTTACAAATTCCACATCACCCCCTTGCTGCTGTGGTCACTGCCCTATTAGTAAAACCAAGCGTACTATGCTTTACTAACTGCTCTCTCCGGCACTTTCAATGATCTATGCACACTTGGACACAGGTTTCTCTGCTCTTGCATCCCAATTAGAATTGTAGCCCTATTTATTATTTTCTTTCAATGTTCTTTCTAACAAAGTGCAACACCTCACACTTCACTGTATTGAACCTCATCTGCCACCTATCCACCCATTCCACCAACTTGTCAATGTCCTTTTGGACTTTCACACTGTCCTCTTACAGTTTGCAATCCTTCCAAGTTTTATGTCATCTGGAAACTTTCGAATTTGCCCCTACACACCAAGATCCAGAATATTATGGTAAGGTAAAGTCATATTCCCAGAGGACCATAGCTTTGCTCCCTCATTGGAGAGAGACAACTGGTGGTGACTTAACCTGAGGGTCACCACACTTCAAGCAAGGGGAGGGGTTTAGAAGGCAGGACGTTCATGGTGACCTCAGCCAGTTCAGAAATTAAATCAGCGCCATTGGCATCACTCTGCATCACAAACCAGCCGTCCAGCTAACTGAGCTAACTGAACCCCTGTTAATACATTTCAGGAAAAGCAAGGGTCCCAATAGCAAGCCCTGGGTAAATCTACCACAAATCTACAAATCATCCCCCAGCCCAAAAAATATCCAGTGAGCATTACTTTGTTTCTTATCACTTAGCCAATTTTATATCCACTTTGCTACTGTTCATTTTATACCTTGACCTATAACTTCCACCACAAGTCTGTTGTGCGAGACCGTATCAAATGTCTTCTGGAAATTCATGTATGTCACTTCAACAGCATTACCGTCATTGAGCCTTTCTGTTACCTTTTCAAAAAACTCTAGCATGTGAGATTAAACACAATTTCTCCTTTAGAAATCCATGCTCACCCTTCCTAATCAACCACCTTTTTTCATGTGACTACTAAGTCTATCTTGAGTAATTTTTTCTAGAAACTTGCCTGCCCTCAAGGTTAAACTCACTGGTCTATAAATGCTGGGATTGTCCTTACAACTTTTCTTGATCAGGACCATAATGTTTGCAACTGCCCAGTCTACTGGCACCTCCCCAAAGTCCAGGAAGACTGAAGATTAGGGACAGTTCCTCTCAATTTCTATCCCCTCTTCCTTCAAAATCCTTGAATGCATCTCATCTGATCCAGGTGTCTTGTCAACTTTAAGTACCAAAGTCTATCCAAGCCTTCTTTCTTATTAATTTTGAACTTTTTTAGTGGCAGAGTTTCCTCCTCTGTCACCATGGCCCAAGCAGGATCCTCCTCTTTTTAAAAACAGATACAAAGTTTTAATTTAATACCTCAGCCATAAACCCTGCCTCTGTGTGTTAATCCCTTTTTTGGTCTCTAATCAGTCCTACCCCACTTTTAACCACACTTTTCCTATTTATATGCCTATAGGAGATTTCAGGATTTTTCTATATGTTAACTGCTAGTCTCTTCTCATAATTCTTCTTTGCTTCTCTTAATTGCTTTTTTAACCTCCTGCTAAACCTTTGGTACTCCTCTTGGTTCTCACTTGTATATTCTGCCTTACAGTTCTGATATATCTGTGAAAGATAATTTATTTGTTGGCTGTGCAATATTTGGTATCACATTTAGTTTGGCACCTGAAAAGTCATCTGAAAATCGTTAATGTTTTTTTAACAAATTCAATTATTTGATCACACTTCCTTACATTTGAATGAACACCAGTCTTTTCCAAACGTAGAGTCCTGAATGACTTCAGCTATTGTAATGTTATTAGTTGTAGTACTATCATACATCACAAATGATTGCAAAAAATCACACATTACATTTAGGCTACTATTAAATTTGACTATTCTGACCTCAATGTTGGAAAATCTGTGCCCAGAAAGTAGGCAAGATTCATTTAACCACAGGAATAGGCCCCCAGTTTAGGATTATTATTGCACAGTCAATAAATAGAACAAAGTAAGGTTTGTTTAAATTTTTGGTTTGCATTTTGATCCTTGTCAGATTTGCAGACCGCAGTGAAGTAAGCAAGAGGACACAATACTAACTTATAAAAGAGATTTGTGAGCTGACTTCAAGAAATATTGATCTGTGTTTGTGATTTTGTTAATAGATAAAAGACAATCTTCCCAAAATGTTTGCAGTGTGCTCACTTATAGCAATAAGAAACCTTGGCACTGAAACATCAAATGGAAGAGAAAGATGGTTTAAGTTGAACATGATGAAAAATTAGTGAAGTGAACAAACCAGGCTGCGTTTTTGTGAAAAAGGAGTAGAAGCTGTGCAACAACTGTCACTTCAGGAGCACTCTAAAATGTGTTGCTGTCTTCTTGGCGAGTGATACTGTCCTGCACATTTTGAAAAAGAAAAGAGACAGCTGTTGCACAATGCTAATGACAGCTGATGTTCTCATAGCAGCAGACAGAACGTTTGTCCTAATCTGACCCTTTTCTTCAGTGAAACTTTTAACCGTTGCCAAGGTGATCCGCAGTTGTGTTAATGGCAATCTGGAAGAATTTTCCCCTCACTGTGCCCCAAAGATCTTGGATACCAATGTGATCTTTATAGCACACTCCTATCATCAACTAACACAGTCACAAATGGACATCGTTACAAATACCAAATGAGCAGTTCGTCATCAACTTACTGACAGGATATGTTTATTATTTAGGATTTGTTTATTATTTTAAGATTCATGATTTATTAATATAGGAGGGTGCAATGCCCGTGGAGTTAATGGCACTTTTGGAAAAACAAAACTATGATATGAGGAAGCATATTTCTCTTGTCTACCACTACCACCCCAGTCATCCCCCAGCCATCCCAAGCCCCTACCCCAGTCTTCCCTCATCACCCCAATCTCCCCCAGCCACCCCACACCCCTACTCCAGTCTCCCCTAGACATCCCCGACCCCTACCTGAATCTCCCCTCACCATTCCACAACACAATAGTCTCCCCTCGCCCTCCCAATCTACCCCAGCCAACCCACACCCGTACCCCAGTCTCCCCATACCACCCCAATCACCCCTGACCATCCCACACACACAACCCAGTCTTCCCTCACCACCCATCCACACCCATACCCCAGTCTCCCTTCATCAGCCCAATCTACCCCAGCCACCCCACACCCCTGCTCCAGTCTCCCCTAACCATCCCACACCCCTACCTGAGTCTCCCCTCACCATCCCACAACACAACAGTCTCCCCTCAACCCCAATCTCCCCCAGCTATCCCGCCACCCTACCCCAGTCTCTCCTCACCATCCCAATCTCCCCCAGCCATCCCACGTCTCTATCAAGTCTCCCTTCACCACCCCAAACTCCCCCAACTATCTTACACCTCTAAGCCTAGTTTGCCCTCACCACATCAGTGACCTCTCACGACCCCACCCCAATCTCCCCTCACCACCCCACCCATCTAACCTATAAGTCATTTGTAGAATGTTCTATTTAATCCATTCCTTGAGCACACATTCAGTTATAGGCATCACGCTCTGGGGGATACTGTACTTCAGGTTTGGAGGGTAGAGCACAAATTCAGCAGATCTATAGTGGGGTTCCTGGGTTAAATTATGAGAATGCTAGGAATTTTTTCTATTACGGAAGATCAAGGGGTGATCTAATGGACATGTATAGAATGATTAAAGAATTGGGCAGGCTAGAGAGAAACTGTTTCTTGTGGTGGGAATAAAGAGGGAGCTTAATCGTAAAATTAGAGCGAGGCCATTCAGGGATGATATTAGAAAGCACTTCTCCCATTCGCCTTTGTGTGAAATCTGGAACTTGCTTCCCTCAACAGTTGATTTCAGTTAGATTAATAGATTAATTTCAAGTTAGATTAATTTCAAATTTAGCTTGACAATTTTTTTTAGATGCAAAGCAGCCAAGATCAAATTTGCTTGTGTAGTAAGGACAGTGGCCGACTTCCTCACACTCCCACTACTGTATGGAAGAGAAAGAAGTTTATAAATCAACATTGATTCATGAATACATAAGATTTGTCAGACTTTGGCTATTAGGGTTCCATTTTGACTAGCTCATTTAAAATCACAAATAAGCAAAGAGGTGAAATGCTTGCTTTTACGTATGTGTTCATCAAGCACTGGTTTTAAAGTTAATGGATGGTGCTGACTTGCAAACAGCCAGTAGGCTGTAGTTAGCACAACAGTTAATGGCTGGAAAGACTTTTTTTTTCAATTGTGAATGTAATATTTGCAGTAGCAGAGCAGTGCCCTGTTCACTGGTGTCTGGACCCTGCTGATCTAGTAAAACTTTGCCAGTTTGTCCTCTGCCATTGAAAAGATGAGAGAAATGGGAAGAAATTGGAAAGAAAATCATATCTGCCTGTTAAAACTTTGCTCCCCACTTCAACTTGTAACAGAATTTTCGTTTTAGTTTTAGGTTTAATTTGGATGAAAACCTGCAAAATGATTTCCAGGAGAGATTGGATTGCTTTAAAAAATGGAATACATCAACTTTGTTTCATTTTATTTTACAAAAAAAGGGCAATTTGACATAAGTAGAAACACAGTGTGAAGCAGTCCCAAAATCTCAGCGCAATGAGTGGTCTCAAACTGTCTCTGCTCTCTGCAACGTTTTACAGGTAAAAAAAAACTAGCATCACTTGGAAGGAAGTGACAGAATCTGAGACAGCCCAATTATTTTGCCACTGTGAAAGTATGCCACAGACATAAAACGATTGTAGACAGTGCAACACATGTTTTATCATTTCGGAATCTCAGAGGCTAGTCTACTGAAGCGTATCTATTAAGATTTAAAATGGTCTATTTACAATTTGAACTAATAATCTGCGTAACAGAATACATTTCTACTTTTGGATATTTGACAGCCTGCAATTTTTGTTTTTGCAAAATCCACTTGAATAAAATTCGAACACGTATTTTTTCAGTAATAGGGTGCCTCTTACCTGTAATGAGCACAGCCTTTCCCTGCACAGATAACTTAGGCGAGGAAAGTGACTGAAAGGCAAGAAAGCACACAGCAGTGAAAATCAGGACCCCTGACAAGCCGGCCAGATACATGCAACAGATCCTCTCCAGGAGGAGAAGAAGAATCGCATAAATTATCAGGCGATGAGTCAGTTGTACTTCAGGCATGAACAGCCTCAGGAAAGCGACAGTGCCTAGCAAGGTGATAACACACATATACACTAGAAAGGAACTAGAATAGTCGTCCTCCATTGATTCTGGCAGAAACACACTTTGCAGCCGGTTCAAGTCTCGACTGATTCAAAGACCGCACTTATACTATAACTGTTCGAAGAAACGAGTAGCCCCAAAAGGGGGAGGGACTACGGAAATATGCACCAATTTAAATAGTTAAAGAAAACTTAAAACTCAGCAGTTTAGGATGAAGTTTACGATAAGGAACGATTTCAAATCTTAAACCGAGATCTGGAGGCGCTGCCTCAGTCCAGCTGACTGGAGAGTACCCCACGTTTGCTTTCAATTTTGAAACAAACACAATGAAGCTTAAAGAATATCTGCCATTTGATGTTGGAAAGCTGCCAAGAGGCTGAACTTAAATCTGGGAGGTAAACTTCCCAGCACCGGAGAATCACAATCTTTCGTTAAAAACTACAATAAAAGCGCCGCTCAGGTGTAACATCCAATATATTTTTGCAGGTCCTGGCGTGGGCAGTGCAAGCGAAGGTTAATTTTTTCCGGTGGTTGTGAAAGCGGGTGGGAATCGGGGTATTGCTAATCGTGAAATGTCACATTGGGTGGAAATGAAGTATTACAGAAGCGGCTGTTAATTTGGTTTCCTAAATGTAGTGGATCATTCACTTGAAATAACACACACAGTCCGCTTTGAAACTCCAAAGAACTCGCTCCAAGGTTGCTCAATGTTTTGTCATTCGAGTTTGATTAACAAAAGTCTGCAGCTGACCTCGTGTCGAGGACATTCAAACTATCAATTTCCGGGAAACCTGTAAAAGCCACAACCAGAACTCTGTTCACCACGACCTTCATACTTCATGCCTTTTCTTTTAGCTATTGAGATGCACAACGATGGGGAATTTCAAATACGATGGGATGGATCATTCAAGAATTTCCCAATTGCACGCTCTCCCAACTGTCTGGGTTACCTGTTCAGTGGCCTTTATCACCTTAGACCCCGTCAGCCCAGGCTAGACCGATCTGAGTCAGATTCAATCACCAGACATCCCCGTCTTTCTCTAAGTCTTTCAAAAAAAAAACTGTGTTCTCTTACCCACTCCAACGTCATTCGAAGTCAGAAAGGGGCAGAACAGGTAGGGAATGACAGCCTGAAACACTTGGCATTTCCCACACCACACACAACCTTGTTTTCCGGGCTGTTGTCTGTTCTGTCTAATACAGTGAGGTACAAAGATTGATCAAACCACTGCAGCTCGAATCGTACTCCTGAAGTTAGATTTCAGCCCCACTTTGTCCTTGAGACTCACCTTCATTTCATTCTAACAGGAATGCTGATGCCCCTACTTCCCATCCTGACCTTCATGTACTCCCTCTTTTCAGAAATGCCTCCTCATTCAAAACTGCCATCTTTTCAAAACAAAACTCACACTGTTCCTTTACCCTTAGAAACTCCCACCCATGGTCAACTATCCACCTAAAGCAGATGGTGACAGACCTGCTGAGCTTTTCCAGCAACTTCTGTTTTTGTTCCTGATTTACAGCATCAGCAGTTCTTTCGGTTTTCATCCATCCAAAGACCTGGACGCCTATCAAAGATGTGCCCATTTTCCTGATAAATTCATGTTTGGATTTCTTCAGTCAGGCCTGTACGTCTTCTATAGCATTGCATGATCCTTATCAAAGTTGCTCTTTCTCTCCACTATATCTTGACCTTACTGCACATCATTCTCCTGAAATACCTCTCTTTCATTGTTCAACTCAGTGAGACTGTTTTCACTCAGTTTACACCTATTCAAACTGCAGTAATATATTTTCTTCCCAGACTTCTACAGTTAACACTGTAGACCATAAGAAATATGAACAGGAGTAGGCCATTCAGCCCCTGCAGTCTGCTCCATTTTTTAATAGGATCATGGCTGATCCGACATTCCTTACGTCCACTTTCCTGTGTTTTGCCTGTAAGCATTTATTCAACTACTGATCAAGAAGCTAGTCATGCAAGAATCTATCCTGCCCCCTCCTCTTCATTATCTATATGTAGCGCAGTAGCAACACCATCTGAAGTCAATGGGGTGGGGGGGGGGCGCAAGATTGAACTTGGTAACGCTGAGTTAGGAGGGCCATTAGGGATCCAAAATAGCATTCACAAACACACACATTTATCAGATGCAAAATAAATTGGATGCCGTTTTGGTCAAAGAGTTAACAATTACCCTTCACTGAAAATATACAGAGCAGGCAGGTCATCGGTCAGCATACAATGCTGATTTTACACCAGGAATGCTATTTTAGAATTTCAAGCTCAAATTAATTGCTATTACTGTAAAGGGAGGAATATGATGATAATGAAGTCCCAAAACTCTAAGCGTCACACCATGGATGTAAATGTTTAAATATGATCACGAAAATGGCCAATTGTTTTCCTTTGATATGCAGAGACTTTCACAGGCTTCTTCAATAAACTCAAGATAACATGTTTTTATATCACAAAACTTATTCTCAAAACAAATAGCTTAACTGGTTAAAACTATAAACTATAATCCACAACTAGAATCATATCCTCCCTTAATCTCAAAAACACACAGGACAAAAATGACTCTGTGGAGATATTACTTAATAAAAAGGGAAAAACACCCTTAATGACTCTGGTTTGTAAAACATAGGGTAGAGTTTGATGACTTCTTAAATGTTGACAAAACCGAATTACTGATGACCTTATACTGACGGGATATCTTTTAAACAAAGCTTCAGTTCAACTGAAAATCAAGCTGGATCTGAGTCTTTGGATAGTAGTCATTGTTTAGCTTTTCAGGGGCTGCAAGGCAGTCAGAATACTACACTGTAGACTGTGTCAGTTTCCTAAATTTCAACCAGCCAAAAGAGAAAGAGAGAGAGATATACTGCTGTTTTACTGCTCCTTATAAGACAGGTATTCCAGCAATTAAGGCTAAAAAAACTTTTTATTCCAGGAAGTATCAATTTTTTTTTTCTCATAGTCTTGTAGATTCCCAATGTGTCTTCACCCTCAGAGAAATGGAACACCACTTTCACATGCCTTTAATTATGATGTAGACATGAAGACATATATAACATAAAGCACAAAAAATTAGGTTTACATTAATTCCTTCTAATTCACTATTCATACAAAATCTATTGAGTTTCTTGTCACCTTTTAAAACTCTAAACAATTCCAATGTAATTACGTACTTGATAGTGCCTGAGCAATTATATTATCCTTCTCAATAATATGAACAATTTTTAAGTTACCAAACTGAATTAGCCAATTTCACCAAAACAATCAGCCAGTTTTATTTTTAAACATTTCCACAAAACTCAAGGCATTATAGTCATTGTAAATTAGAATTTTTTCATGCTTTCAAAAAGTCACTCCTGGCAAGACTTACCACTCGGTCAGCTAAGTGCAATGGTTTAAATAAGGCTTCCAATTGAGGTTGTAGACTTGCTCACCGAGATGGTATGTTTGATTGCGGATGTTTCATCACCCTGCTAGGTAACATCATCAATGTACCTCTGGTGAAGTGTTGGTGTTCTGTCCCGCTTGTTATTTATATGCCTCGGTTTGCTGGGGTGGTTGGCATCACTTCCGGTTCTGTTTTTCAGTGGTTTGTATATCAGGTCCAGTGCAATGTGTTTGTTGATGGAGTTCTGGTTGGAATGCCAGGCCTCCAGGGATTCCCTGGCATGTCTCTGTTTGGCTTGTGCTATTATGGATGTGTTGTCGCAGTCGAATTTGTGTCCTTCTTTTGTCCGTGTGTATTGGTTGACCAGTGAGAATTGGTTGTGTCTATTGGTGGCTGGTTGGTGTTCATGTATCCTTTATTGTCAGTTTTCTTCCAGTTTGGCCTGTGTAATGTTTCTCACAGTCCTAACGTAATATACACCTTAGGTCTAATTGTCACCTGTATTGCCAGTATCTTTGTAAGGAATGAGGCACTGCCAACCCTATCAGTACAATCTTCTAACTGAGGAATTGGGAATGACTCTTTCATTGTTATTCCATTTATTTTCCTGTAAACTATGCCCAATCTAGTTGACCTATCAGGTTTAGGAACTACATTACTTGAAAAGTCTGATTGCTTTGAATAGGTTCAGTGAAGTGATTTTCTAACATAAGCTGAATATCCCTTTTCACCTGAGGCTATTTCTCTGGACATGATGAGGATGTTGTTTTATTGGTACTATTCACATCAAGCCTGGCTAAAGTTGTACATCCTGATTTAATTCTACAGATTTCTTTAAATTCCATAAGTAACCTCACTAGATACTCTAGTTGTCCTTCCTCTAAAGGGGAGAATAAGGTGTCTTGCTGTCCTTGTATTTCAGTATGAGCTAATTGCATTGTGGGAAGTTCAATTTGTGAATTGCTTCTGTTTTCTCTACCTCACTGTCAATGTTTTTATCATCTTTCTTATTGCCTGACATACTTGCTTCTCTCTACTATGGCATCTTAGCACAATTGATTCTTCTTCTTGTGATCTGGAGTGTCAATTAGATAATTAATTTCACTAACCCTATTTAATTCCTGTGTAATCCGCTGAATCTTGCTTTCGTAGGATCCCACCTGTAAGGGTAACAATACTAACAACTTCATCTCTCTATGACTCTATGGCTCCTGTTTGAAATGTTCAGGTTTCAGTTTGCTTATCTGCCCATTCCTTCTTCTCTACCTGAAAAGTTTTTAATTGCTCCTGTGATACTTTGCAGGCTCCCATTTGTCTCTCCAGGAACATAGACATATAATCCATCATAGAGGATTATGGAGTTGGTTTCATCATTTGAGGAATAAGGGGTTAATTTTCCTCAACAAAAATCCTTTTATAGCTCTCTCCTGTGCTGCAGTGTTCATCTTCAGTCTCATTCTTGTGGTTTAAGATACAACTTCATCTGTTGTGTTTTCTTTCTGGGCTCCTTTTATGGAATCATTCTTAGGAACACCAATAAGTCCCAAGTGAGTCCCACATAACTTCTAGAAAACTGAATGAATGTGCAAATTTTGTTATTATAGAGGCAGATCTTTGATTTTCACTTTTACTCTCTGCACCTTCCTTTCTGGTCTAAGGATGAATTTGCAGGTTGTTCCCAGTTGTCTCTTCTTTGTACTGGTTACTTGTCTTCCTTTCAC